TGAACAAGAACAATCATTGGCTAAATGTGATTTCATTACAATTGGTATTCCTCTGTGCCAATGCTTAGGACAATATTTGCATTGGACGGAATAGTATTTTCCAATTTTTTCACCAACATTATATGTATCCCATACTTCTTTATGAGGCCGACCACCAGATTTATTAGTCGAAGAAGTTGAACAATTGTAGGTATCACTCAAATTATTATCAATGTTATTTGACATATTGAAATAAGTAAAGAATTGTTAAATTAATTGTTTTGATTTTTTAATTTATATATTAGTGTAATGTGAAAGAAAAAACTAGACCCAAATCTCAAAATTAGGCTTAATCTGGGCAATCTGAAACTTTTGGCCAAACCTTATCTTACAGTTCAGATTGGATGATAATCCGAATCTACTGGATCCAGATTATTCAGAACACTAACTTACATAGTGGTTAATATATAATATAAACTATCATATAAACTTAGAAGATTTGGCAATTAAAATGTTTTCGATTATGCCATCTCAAGCTGCATGTGAGCAAAATTTTTTCATCCTAAAATGGGTTTATAATAATTAAAAAAACTACCTTACAATTAAGTGAATTGAAACTATGGCCAAACTATGAATATATTGTCTTTCAGAACCTGAAAGAACTTGTACTTTATAGAAAAGATCTAACAGAAGAAGAACTGCAGGCATGTACCAATATGGCAATAATTCTAATTAATTTATTTTCAAATATTAATATATTTAATACAAATGATATATTTGATGATGTAGAGTCTTATATCGTGAATCAAGATACTCCTTCTATATTAGTAAATTCTAATTTGCTTTTTAATACAAAACCTAAAATCAAAGACATTGCAGATCTTACTTTATCTTTTTTTAATTTTAACAACATGGAATTATATTATAAAAGGCCACAATCTAAGTTAATATTAAGCAAAGGTCATGAAAATATAGACTTTGAAGTATCAAATATTATTAATGAGATTTTAAGAATTAAAAATGATAGTAATTAGCTTTAAAATATATTAAACAATAAATGCTAAATATGTACTATACTAATAATTAATAAATACGTTTATTGTAAGTAAAGTTCAAATAAATTTTTGGCTACTTATTTTATTATTTTATCTGTTTTATCGCAAGTATATAAAGTTTATCAGTTTATATTTTAAACAATTTCATGTTTTTAGCCTAAGCCTCAAAAATATTAATAGTAATAATCTATCATATAGATAGTTTATATTTTTATTAAGTTTTATTATGGAGTATAGTTGGCATCCCTAATTTCCATCTAACACCCAATTTATATATATTATTATTTATTACAAAAAATATAATCATGTATTATTGAACTCTTTCCAATAATCCCTTGTACCAAAATCATAACAAACCTTTTTCCAAAAAAACAGTAAACTATAGAAGCAAAGAGTGGCAAAAGACTGATAAAAACCATAAACTAGTATCTGTTATTTAGAGATAGTTCTTATATGCTACCTGCTAACAGGCTTAGAGCTTATCACTCACCTTTAGGGAT